AGAGAGAGAGAGAGAGAGAGAGAGAGAGAGAGAGAGAGAGAGAGAGACTAAGCAAAGAAAGCGAGACAGGAAGAGAGAAAGAAACCCTTTTGGTCCTGCCTTTAATAGTAGTAGTAGTAGTATAGCATTCGGATTAGTATTGCTAATGTGTCTGTTTCCAACTCTTTATGCCCCTCAAGTTGTGTCTTGAATGCGCCTGCCAAGCCAGTCTGTTCTGTCTGCCACCCAGCCACTAACATCCAAGAGTTATGCAGATGTTTATGGCTAGGGAAAAATTCCAGTTAAGCATCCTTGTATTTTTAAATACTGACTGTAAGTGATTCAAGTATAATCCTTTGTAAAACGCTTTTCTCTTTGACACGCTGAGGGGATTGAAAGGGAAAAACCCGAAGTGGATTCCCCTTTCCCGACCCCTCTCCCACCCACCACCCTCGCCCCCACCCGGCCAGCGCCAGAGCCTTGGCTGTCCCTTGGGCAGACCCTCGCCTGGGGTGGACCCAACTTCTCTCAGAGTTGGTTCTTGGCTGTCAGCTTTGGGTGCACAGGAAGCTGTTTAAAAGAGAAGAAACGTGCTCTCCCTAGGGCTCACTTCTCTCACCTTTGCTAATGGAAAGTAGGTAAAGAGAATGCGGAATTTTAGACGCATGAATTTGGTTGAATCTGAGTTTGGGGTTCCTTCCACCCTTGGGTGCTCGGAAGCCACCCCCCCCCCGCCCCCGTTCCCGGGAATTGCACTCCCCAGGCTCTGTTAGAGACCCAACAGCCTGGTGGTAACGGCTTAACTGAGATGAATTTGGAGGAAAGAGGAGAGTCCTGGGAGATGAGGGAGACTCCCAGGCTTGTCCCAGTAGTTCCTTCCTTGAGGCTAACAGTCCGGAGTCCCTTTCTGCTCTGTCGGTTCTCTAGAGAAGGCCGAGCGCCTCTGGCAGAGCTTTGTCTTTGAGGGAGCCTCATCTCATTCCAGAGTTAAAAACCCAGAGGAGTACGCCTGAGACGCTGTTAGCAAGAGAATAACAGCCAGGCTGGGGGCGAAGTGGAACTGCGCAGGGCGTTGGGCCACAAGAGAAAGCCTGACTCCCAGATGGCAGGTATTTGCTCGCGACCCCGCACGCTGCCACCAGAGACGCTCGCTGAGGTCAAGGCGCTATTTTGGAAGCTCAGTGGGCTTTGAAAAGTGTCAGGTGGGCCTGAACGTGAGCCTCGGAGCTTTGCCTTCTGGGAGCGAGGTCTAGGGACTGGCGGAAGGAGCGCACGACGCCCAGGTGGCACCCACAGGCCTGGCATTCGAATAAGCTGTAGCTTTGGGCCAGCCCTAAAGAGTTACAGGAGGATCTGTAGGAAAAGGATGGTATACTTGGAAAGTTGTTAGTTTAAAAAAGAGAGAAAGGAAAAAAGAAGGAAAGAGAAAGACAGAAAGACAGAAAGAAAAAAAAATTGGCTCTGGTGCGTGCCTGCTGCTACACCCCACACACCCCGCTGGCCCCTCCGAAATCCACTCCGGGCTTTGCTCTGCGCCCACAGCCCGATTTAGCCCGGCCTCTGGCGAGAGCCAATCAGACTGCGGCTCTCAGCACGTGGAGGAGAGAGACTCCAGCGCTCCGCGCCCGCTTCTCACTACACTTGTTAAAGCTTGTCCTGAGCGCGGAGAGGGGCGAGCTCAGGCTGCGGGCAGGGAGGGAGCCAGCAGTCGGCATCCGAGGGAGGCAGAGAGGCACAAAGATCGCAGTAATATCCGTTATAACCAACCATCTAACCCAGCCCCATCACACACCCACCCACCCCACCCTCCGGGAGAGGCAGCCAGCGGACCCTCTCTGTGTCGGGAAAAAGCCCCAGCCATGAGCAATCAGTACCAGGAGGAGGGCTGCTCCGACAGGCCGGAGTGCAAAAGTAAATCTCCAACTTTGCTCTCCTCCTACTGCATCGACAGCATCCTGGGCCGGAGAAGCCCGTGCAAAATGCGGCTGCTAGGAGCCGCGCAGAGCTTGCCCGCCCCGCTGGCCAGCCGCGCTGACCAGGAAAAGGCCGTGCAAGGTAAGGCTGTGCCTATCAGGCACTTGCAAAGAGCGCTGGGCTCTGGTTTGGATGTTTTATGTTTGGGGGGCCAGGGGCCTGAGGCTTGTCAAGTTGGAGAGCAGGGAAGGAGAGGGGACAACTCTGAGGCCTGGTGCCTCAAAGGAGCTCTGAACATCTCGCCAGGGGCTGTCTCTCCCTCTCTCCTTCTTTCTCTCTCTCCCTGCTTCCAGAAAATGCAGAGGCCCAGTTTGGCTTGGGAACTCTTAGGTTCTCAGTGTCGTTAGGTAGTTTAACTGCTGCTTTCGGCGGCCTTGGGTGTGCTGTGAAGAGGGCCGGTGGGTGAGGAACAGCAGGTACCTGTCCTTTTAGACCTTTGTACAACAACTTGATGAAGATGAGAAACCCAAAGGCTGGTGAATGGGGGTCTCCAGGCAGGGTGAGCCCTAGCCTTTCCTCCTTGGAAGATTTCTTTATAGGCAGTGTTTGCTATCTTTTTAAAATTGTGTGTTACTTGTGACTTTTTAAACCCAAGCTTTACAGAAAACATTTCCCTGGGATTCCCCCAAAGCTCCTTATTGTGTTTGAAATGTATGAAATGTGTGGCTGCTGGGTACTGTTTTTTCCTCTGCTGTTATTTTTTAAAAAGAGTTGAGCAATGGAGAGATATGGGAGAGGGTTTATTCATTAAAAATTCCAGAACTATCGTTTTGTCCCGAACCTGTTACAGTCAAATTTCGCCTTGAGCTGGACGCAGAGATGTTGTAGGGAAAGAACTGCTAGTTTTGTGTTTTTTTTTTAAATCCTAAAAACAGCGGTCCAGCCACAACGCTGCTGAGAAGACAGGAGTGGACTGCGGAGAAATGACCGTTTAAAATAAAACTGACTTTTTTCCTTTCTTTTTTTAGCCTGCAGTGGCACCTGTGTCAGGCGCTTCCTCGAAGGGAAGGAACGGCCTGTGCCTCTTGTACCCCCTTCTGTCCCCCACCCCAGGCCTTTCCCGGCACATTTTCACTAGGATGATTTTATTCCGCCTTTTGTGCTAGGACTCCTGCCCCCTCCGGAGGTGGGCTTTGGGGGCTAGGTCAAGCTCAGGGCCACTTCGCCCCGCGGGGAGCGCCCCTCTTGCTAGCCTGCGGCACCCCTGTGGTGGAGCAGCGGGCAGAGATGCACAGAGTTTTCAGGGTGATGGTGATCTTTTTTAAGTTGTTGAATGATTTTGGATTCTCCTCTGCCTCAGAACGGGAAGAAAAAAAAGTGGGAGTGAGCAAGGGGGGAAGAAAAAGGAAAGAGGAAGGAAGGGAAGAGGGGGAAGGGAATTCACGCAAAAAGAGAAAGGAAGAAAAGGCGAGAGAAGGCGGAAGATGAGGAAAAGAAGAGAGGGGAGAAAAATGAAAGCGGGAATGAGAGAAATAGGTAAGAGAAGGAATAAAGGAAATAAAGGGCAGAGTGAGAGGGAAAGGAGGGAGGGAGGGGGGAAAGAAACGGGGGAAAAGAGGGAGAGAAAAAAGAGAAAAAGAAGAAGAGAAAGAAAAAGAGCAAGAAAAGTGGGGAAGGGGTCGAAGTCTGCGGGCGCCCGCTGAGGTGCGCGCGCCTGGGCCTAGGCACGGAGGGGCTGTGGCCGGCTAGCCGGCGCGGGCGGCCACTCCGGAGGGGACTCCCGGGCGAGCTGGCACGCTGACCGCTGTCCCTTGCCCGCAGGCTCCCCCAAGGGCAGCAGCGCCCCGTTCGAGGCCGAGCTGCACCTGCCGCCCAAGCTGCGGCGCCTGTATGGTCCCGGCGGGGGCCGCCTCCTCCAGGGCGCCGCGGCGGCGGCGGCGGCGGCGGCGGCGGCGG